AGCAAGTCTCTCCAAGCTAGGGAAGAGAATCTAGGGACTTACCAAGGAGAGGGGGAGAGGTGCAATTTGTCTCGATTGAAAATCGTCGTGTACAGACAGGGAGGGAGAGAACTGTGTACACGAAATCGCGAGGCGAAATCTCTTCCACCCCCGAGGTGAACGCTGCCACTTACGTTGATCTTCCTCGATTCGACGCTATGGAAACGTTTAATAATCTGGGCGAGGAGTAGGTTGAACAGGAAGAAGACTCCCTCGAAGGAAGGACGGGGAACCGGTTGGGGAGAACTATCTAATCGTGGGTGCGCAAGTTTTGACTGGCTGTCTTGGCCCAGGGGCGACTCTTGTTGTTACCAAGTTCTATCGGTTCCAAGTGTCCGGCTCTGGTTGTTTAAGGAGTTCCTTCCATTTAATGACTCTCTATTCTAAGGGAAACATTATGCTTTGGAAACTTATACTTTAAACTGTATTGTTATTTATGAGTGTCGATCTCTTCCTTCTGAATATTCTTCTTTCTAAGAAGAGGTTTTGAATATGTAGATATGTAGCTTCGATCGAGTATCATAATCTCGTTACTCTCCTTTCTCCGCCGATTCTGTTGACTCATTCTTCCTACGAAATATGCGATATTGGTTCCTCTTTTTCTTTCTTTACGTTCATCCCATCCCATCGTATCTTTATTCATCGTCTTTCGCATCTACGCGAATTGGGGAATGATCGGGATCATGAAAATCACACGGTTCTTTCGAGGATCACCAGGGATTTATGAATGTCGTCCGCGGATGCGCTGAAGGAGGAAGGTAATCGAAGTTTCGCCATTGGAGAGAGCGAACGTGCCTGCAAACATTTTTCAACGTGACACGTATACGTAACCTTGATGGTTAATCGTGCCACCGGCAAAAGGCAATTCATCTTGCAGCCCATCGAAAATTTTCTCTCCTCCTCGGAGCTGGATCGACGTGTAAATGGCCGGTGGTGTACATTTTGCCTATCTTTCACGCCGCGCGTCCCGTGCACATGAATGACTTTACACTGTGGGCCAATAGACCGATCGAAAGGTGACGGCGTGGTCGCATCGAGCGTCGTCTTATCGCCTCCTCGACGTGCCGCTGCTTAAAGGGATGAACGTTTTAAAGGATTTTCGAGGATGCTAGAGGGTGTACAAAGGATGGAGAGTCGGCGGGTGCAGCCTCTGCGACTCGGTGGCTGTTCGCACCTTCGAGACTTCGTTGACGACAAAACGGATGAAATATCGTATCGATTTCCCATCGTGAATGCTCGTAAACTCTCTCGCTCTCTCTCTCTTTCTTTCTTTCTTTTTCTCCTCTCTTCCTCCCTTCCACATCTTCTTTTTTTCTCGTCATTGTACGGAATCTTCTTTAGAGATCGCGAATGCACGCGGGTCAACGAGCAGTTGAGCGACAGGAAAGAGAGAAAAAAAGAAATATCGCGCCCGTCTTTTCTACGCGACTTTGAAGCAATATTTTTATTTTCACTCCATGATTCTTCCTTCCCCTCTCTCCTCTCCTCTCCTCTCCTCTCCACTTTCTCCGCTCTCAATGTGTCGGATATTTGTCCAGTTCCTATCCAAGCGGGTGAAAGCGGACTGACTCGAGATGACGGCAGACATATAATACGACGAAGTAAAAATATTTCAACGGATGAAAAGTCGATACGTTTCCTCGGCTGTCCGATCATCGAGACAGCCGAGATTATTACGAATGAAACGGTGGATATTCTTAATAATTTCATCCTTGACATCGAACAATCTTATCCGACCGTTCTGTTTTGTCGACTCGAACACTGTTTCCTGCTATCTTTCACGCCGGAAATTGAGGTCCTGTTCACTCGGTCGTTAATGGACGACGTTCCATGAATATTCCTCTTGCATCCTCTGTTTCGAACCCGTATCGCGAAGAAAACGTCAACACGGTCGAAGGGAGCAACCGGAAAACGTATCGAGAAGACCTTAATTTTTTTTTTTTTTTTTTTGT